ATAGTATGAAGAAGGTAGAAAAGTTACACTTAAAAGAAAAGTTCTGTTTGGGGTAAATAACAGATGAAACTGGATTAGTAAGCAGGAGCAAGTCCATGAAGGGGCATGTGTGTGAGTCGCATAAAATCATTTGGATTATTTTTAACAGAACCACAGGGATTTTTTTTTTTTGTACCGGGAATCAAACTCAGGACCTTGTGCTTGCAAGGCACAGGGAATTATTGATGAGTTTTCAGCACTGGGATAGCATGATCTTCTTTGTACCTGAGAGATGCCCCATTAGCTGCAGTATGGAGCGTGAATGGGAGACAGGTGGGAAAACTGGAGACAGGGAAGGGAGAACATTTTAGGAAATCATTGCTGTTGTCCAGGTGAGAGAAGACAGTGGCCTGAGCGAACACACGGAACACCGATATAGGGTGATAGTGGTATTTGACATTGTGAATGGAGAAGAATTTGCACAAGGAAAATGTATAGAATGGGCAGAAAATGGTCTCCTAGGACCCCAACATGTAGGGTGTGACTAAAAGAAAGGAATCCAGAGGAGAAACCCAGGCAGATGAAGCCAGTGAGATATGCAGGACCGGCAGGAGAGGAGTACACAACTCAGGAGTCCCTCCAGGAAGCACCTGCCGTGAGAACTGCGATTGGCTGACCACCCCAGCCACTGCCTTGGGGTGCATCACGGCACTCACGCGGAGGTCTCCCTTCTCCACTCTTCCCTGGGCAGTTTCCTTGAAGCTCCCTGTTGGCCGTCCAGAACCTTTCTCAGAGGTGCCCTGCCCAGGACCTCGATCCCTTCAGAGGTATTGACAGGCATCGGAGTCTTTTACTCTTCCCTCCCACCCCTGCTTCCTCTCCGGTTTATCCTTCCCAGGTGATTCCACAAGTACATTGTCTCGCGCTGCTCATGCAGTCTTACCATCTGCTGAACTGGTACACATGGCATCGATAAAGCAGAGGAGGAAAGTTTAAGAAGATAATGGGTCAAGAATGTTAAATGCTAAAGAGAGACTGAGAAAAAAACCTATCTGTAGATTTGTCTTTATGGAGGTCAGAATTGACTTTATTATACAGTTCATATTCCCTCTTCTCTTAATTACATTTTCCCAAGTCCCTTCAACTTTTATCACATGAAAGTCTCTCTACATCTCATCTGGACATCCTTACTTGGAGACATTTAAATTGTTAATACCTCTCTAAACTCTGGGATTAAGAATGGAAGTCAGTGTTCCAAATTCAGCCTGGTCCATGTTAACTAGGTAGGGATTATAAACACCTATTATTATCTGACCACTATGTTGTAGTCTAAACTTTGATTTGTAACCACAACCAACTCAGGGCCACTGTAGTGCCCAATTCCAGGAAATGCCATTCAGACTATAATCTGTAATAGTGTAATCCTCAACTCCAGCCCAGCCCATGAATCTTGACCAAGAAACAGCTCCAAAAAAATGTATTTACTCACCTTAGAATCACATCATCCCAGGAGTTCATGAACCCACACTGCCATAAAGGGTGAAGACAGGAAATGTTGTCTCATTCATCCTACGGTAAAGCGCTAGCCCTGCCCACAGTTTATCAGACCACATGTCACAAGATGTAACACTACAAACAATAAAACCCGAACACAAGGTAGCTTTACCCATAGTATTGCTTCTAGGGGTAATTATCTGGGTAAGAATCTCTGATCTTCTTGGGAGGCCAGGATTGCAGAGGGGTGCTCTTTGGCCTACGCAAAAGGTAACTGATGGCACATTTGAGGCAGCCAATCCTTGAAGCTGCAGGCTGTGTACATTATTGAGGAACTGTAAAAAGGTGTAGACTGATTACAGACTGAGGAAGAGAAACATTGAGAGATGGCTGAAAGTTTTTTTTTTTTTTTTTAATAAAACTTGATTAGTCATCGGTTATGGTAGCGTATAGGATTTTTGCTGGCCTTTTCCTTAGAAGCTTTATCATATATTGCTATTAATCTCTTAAGAGAAACCCTCCCCCACCCCCATGGAAAAGCCCATCTGGATCAAGGCATGCTTCTTGGTATTAGAACCAGAACTTCAGCCTTGGATCTAATCTTCTGGTTTCTTAAAGATACTTTTGTATTAAATTAGAACCCATCTGGTAGTATGAGCTTTCCAACTAAGCATCTGATACCATCAGAAGAGCTTTAACATGTGGCTGAAATCATTGTTTTCATAGTGAAAGAAAAAGAGGGAAACACCTGAAGATTGCCCACTGATTTGTATTTTATCTACAAATGGATATAAAGGCTTTGTACTTGATTTACGAGTTGCCATATGGAATTTCTGAACACAGCCCCCATACACCCTTAAGACAGGGTCTTGCTATGTAGTTCAGGTTGGCTCTGAACTCACTATGTAGCCCAGACTGGCCTCCAACTTGCGGCAGTCTTCCTGCCTCAGCCTCCTGAATGCTGGTATTACAGGCATGGGCCACCGTGCCCAGCTGTGAATCACCCTTTTTAATCACAGGTGTGGAGCTGTGTATGGGGAGTTGGTGCCTGTCTCAATGTGTGAAAACTTGAACTTGTGATATTTAAAGTATAGTGATGTAACATTGTTCATGCCAGTATTTAGGGCTCCTGTATCCTCTCACCGAAGCAGCATATTCTGTTATTGCACATAAACTCAAAGCAAGATGTCTGTAGGATCTGAGAGTATTCTGCTTTCCGCCTCTTAATTAGTCTGCCTGGCCCCCTTCTCTTCCTCTTTTGGTAACACCATAGCTCACCAATAAAGATGCTTCTTAAAATGTCAGCAGTGAAGCCAGGCATGGGGCTCACATCTGTAATCCTAGCCCTTGGGAGGCTGCGGCAGGAGGATCACTGCGAGTTTGAGGCCGACCTGGGCTACAGAGCTAGACCCTCTTAAAAAAAAAAAAAAAAATCTAACAATGAATTTTTCAGTGGATCACCAAAATTAAATCATATTAGAGAAGTGTGTGTTTAGAATAATGTTCTGGAAACTGCTGGAGCAACATTTTCAATATGTGCCTAAATTGTGTAACATTTAAAGTGCCACCTTGATATAACTGAATAAATGCTTCATTCAAGTGGGTGGAGAAAGTGCCAACAGTGGAAGTTCAGAAGTCCTGCGGGACAGCTAATGTTGGAATAAATGCGAGTTCACATTTAGGTGTTCTGAGTTTGAGATGAGAGGACATCCAAGGGTTATGACAGATTTAGACACAAAATTCAAGAGGATAAGTTTGAGTTATTGAAATAAAAATAACAGCTGGGCGTGGTGGTGCTGTAATCCCTGCACTCGGGAGGCTGAGGCAGGAGAATCGCTGTGAGTTTGAGACCAGCCTGGGCTACATAGTGAGTTCCAGGTCAGTCTCAACTACACAATGAGGCTGTCTCCAAA